AAAAAAAAGGCGCACAAAAATAATAATAGTAATAATCATAACAAAACATTACCTTGGGCGCTTTCGCGTTGTTATTCTCTCCATCACAGCGGTTGCAATAAAGTGCTGATTCGACTGCTCCAAAACCTCGAAAGGACCATGCCCTAAATGAATGGACGACACCACAGCGGCATTTATCGATTTAGAAAAAACAGGAAGTCTGGCTAATCCCATCACTTTAATACAGTTCGCCACACGGGTGACACTGCGCCTCACATCAACATCCGACGCACCATTTGCAGTTGAAGATTCATCCACTCGCTCATTCTGTATCCCTTCAGGACCCACCCATATCATACCATTCAATCCCACAATTACGTTTACAGGTAACGCATCGACTGAAAAAAAATGGTTCTTGGCCCGTTTTACCAAGGCAGGAGAAACCCAGACAAGTACACCAAAACCAGACAGTTTCCCATACTTTTCACCAGAGCGTGTATGGAGAGACACAACTCCATCGGGGGAAATACGTTGCACCTCCGCAACAACCAGCTCGTCTTGATCAAAAATATGCCTCATAGTAAGCTCGTCACTTCGTCCCCTTCGCCTGAGTATACCCCCTGGCTCTGTCACATTGGACAGCAACATAACAGAGTCTTGATAAGCGCCAATATCTACACGCCACCGATTGCCACTGACCTCCTTTACACGACCAATAACAATATCGCCTATTTCGGCTTGATAACGAGACGACATTCCTTTAATAGAAACAACACGATCAGTTACCTCCACCAAACCATTGATGGCAGCCATAATTTCGCCTCCTCCTTCCTGTAAGGCCGCAGCTTCATTTGGCCGATCCCCTTCATATGTACTGTATCCTCTGAGGAAAACTTCTTTATCTGAACCAGTAAACTTTGACTTCCCCGCCGAACCGCATATAGAATCACCTACAATGCAGGTTATATTGTTCATAACTAGCTTACAAGAATAAGATAAACCATTAAAACAAGATAAAAAATTGGACAAAGGTGTTGAATCCAAAACGAAAGTTCCAGGAAAACAACAAAAAAAA